GGCAGGTACCTGCTGAACTTGCAGCAGGTACCTGACAGGTTACAAATATGGTATTTTATTTTTTCTGGGTCAAAAAAATTTTTTTGATTTCCATTTATAGTAATCTACCGAATTATTGGATCCAAGTTAGTTTATTTCTTTTTTCAGAAGTGATTTTCATCTCATAATTCTGCCCATCACTATAAATTTGGCTAGAATTAATCGTATAATCAATACTAAAATCTTTAATAGTTTTAATTTATATTGTAAATTCAAAGTATTTTTTAAAATAAGGTTTAATGTAAAAAATAACTTGAAACTCAACTTTTAAGTATAAAAAAATTATAAATGAAAGAATTAATACTAATAAATTATTATAAAATTTTTAAATTCAAATGAGCAATATAAAAATCAATTTAAATAATTTTAAAATTTACAATTTGATTAAATGATTAGTATAACAAAATACACTACCAGAATATTATTATTTATATACCCAATTTAACTATATTGGTTTAAATTTATTGATGCCACTATCATTAATATTATTCTTTTAATTTTAAACCAATATCACAAAACCCTTTCTTATATGTGGATTATGGCTGGAAATCTCTGATCATTTAGAAAAAAAATTTTAAATTATGAAATCTTTGCAAAACCATTAAAAGAACTAATGAACAAAAATTTACATATAGGGAATATTTTTTTTTTTAAAAAAAAGCAACTTCAGTAAATTTAACTTTATTGATAGCTCATTATATGTATATTTTTTTTATAGAAATGTCTGTTGATTTGCTAAAAATCATAAATAAACTATTTATTTTTATTTTGAATTTGGGCAGAAAATCTAAAACAATTATGAGCAGATGTGTGAATATGACAAAGACTCATTTTATGTCAATCCCATTGTCATAACTCTTATAAATTCAACTAATAATGATATATAAAGCAAAACTTCAATAAAAATAATAGTATATAAAAAATAAATAATATAAATTTTATAGTTTGATTTTTAAGCTTATTGTAAAATGTATTCTGCAGTAATCTTTTTCAATTAAACGATCTTTTCAAAAATTTATTTATAATTAATCAAATATAGATTCCTTATATATCATTAATTTTAGCAAAATTTAAAGTAATAGGCCGAATTATGAGATGAAGATCACTTCTGAAAAAAGAAATAAACTAACTTAGATCCAATAATTCGGTAGATTACTATAAATGGAAATCAAAAAAATCTTTTTGACCCAGAAAAAATAAAATACCATATTTGTAACCTGTCAGGTACCTGCTGCAAGTTCAGCAGGTACCTGCCGCTAATTCAGCAGGTACCTGCCGCAAATCTAGCAGGTACCTGCCGCAATTCTAGCAGGTATCTGCCGTGAATCCAGCAGATACCTGCTGCAAATTCAGCAGGTACCTGCTGCAAATTCAGCAGGTACCTGCTGCAAATCTAGCAGGTACCTGCCGCGAAAGCAACAGGTACCTGCTGCAATAGCGGCGGACTTTTGACTTGAATGGCTTGCCATAGGTACCTGCCGTTTCTTATAACGGGTACCCGCCGTTTCTTATAGCGGGTACCCGCCGTTCCTTATAATAGGTACCCGCCGTTTCTTATAATGGGTACCCATCATAACATATAACGTATATAACGCTATGAAATATAGCGTATTAAATGCTATTTTTTGCAACAGCAGGTTACCCCTGAAACAGACAGAACAGGGGTAACCCGCTGTGAAATATAACGTATACGCGCTACAAACATAGCGTATACACGCTATGTTTTGCTACGCACTTTTGACCATGGCGGCTTTCCATAATTTAACCCTCATATCAAATAATTCGATAGATTTTTTTGTGCCAAAATGATAATCATATCCTGGAATGCATTAGATCATTGACAATCATATCTTAAAATGAAAAATTATGAAAAATTGTGAAAAATTGTGCGGTTTTATGGATTAGTTAGTGCATTTTTATGGATTAGATTTTGCATTTGATCTAACCATAAGTCCAAATTTGGATGAAAAAGTCTCAGATAATTTTATATATATGTTAGTATAGCGAAGCTAACGTTTTTTAGATTTTTTTTGCTATTCCTATAGCTCGTTCAAAATTGTACAAAGATCTTACAAAAAATAGATACCCAGTTTTTCGATAAAATTTTTATTTTTCAAGTATATTACACACTATGTCAAAACCTGGAAGGACTACGAGAAGTGCTACCAGACAAGACACAGTTAAAGAACCGGGAGATGGTATGGAAGGGATAGCTAAAGTTATTCCTCCACGCAACAGTTTCTCTTTTGAGTACGACGAAGGGGAATTCCAGACAGTTAAAACCAAAGCAAACAAACGCAAAGAAAATAAAGAGAAAAAGCAGGAGGCAGAATGACGTCTCCTGGCTAATAGAGACACGGCTCATATGAAGGGACAACAACCTCCTCTTAGGTTGGTTCATAGTTACGTACCATACGAAATTCCTAAAAATTCTTATAGTTCGAAAAAAGCCAAAACCACTGAAACCCCGAAAAATTCAACCATGGGAAGTACAGAAGAAACAAGAAAAAATCAATCTACTCAACCGTCTATGTTAAATGTGAATAAAGATAAAGTACATGTGGAGATTAATGATGATCTCCCCAATAAGGAATTGAGTGATAAATCTCCAATTGATCAAGATTTTCAGAAGAAAGGGCCAGATGGATCTGCAGATCTGATGGCTAAGCCACTACCAGAAATAGTAATGGATGATCCTGAAATTACGCCAATAACTATCAATAAACTAGTTTCGCTTAAGGCGCAATGTCTTTTACCTGAAGAGGAAGGCAGTGCAGCTTTTTGTAATTTCATTATTAGAACGGTCAAATCAAAAGTAGACGTAACCTTGGTCATACAAGAAAAGAAAACAAATAAGGATGGTCAGAAGAATCACGTGATTTCCGTAAAGGTTGGTACGAACGAAGATATGAAAACCTTAGAAGATTTAAACTTTAATATGCCGAAAGAAGGAGAAGAAGCTGTTAATTATAGGTTTACACCGATTGAAGATTATTATGAAAAAAGAAAACAAATCAGGCAAGAACATGAAAATCGTACAATTAAAGTTTTTAACATTCCCATTACTATGGAAAATGCGACCTTGAGAGCCGTATTCAATTGATATGGTGATGTTGAAGAAGATGGAATCAGTACAAGACTCAAAGGAATATACCGACAAGTGTTTATAACATATAAAGATGAACAGAGTGTACAAAGGTTTTACGGTCAAGGCAGTGTGTAGGCATTCAAGGAATGTTTGTCTGTAGTGCCGTGTTTATTGTCAGAAGAAAAAAGGAATGAAAGGACGCAATATGCTGCCAAGATTAACGGATTACCTTCAAACACTTTTGCACGAGATTTACAAGAACTGGTAAACGAAATCAGCGCAGTCTCAATTTTTATTCCAAAAAATCCAATAACTTACAAACCGATGAGATTCGCATTTGTGTATTTTAAAAATGAAGAAGATTTTGCAATTGGAACGAATAATATATACGAATTTGAAGGGCGACAACTAGAATGGTCAACGACAGAAGAAAAATCGTGTCATAAGTGTGGTTACACCAGCCACCTTGCTAGGGAATGTGAAGTGGATAATCGGAGATATAAACCACTTAATAGATATCAACTTTTACAACAATATAAAAATCGTAATCGACAACGATTTTAATTCATATGCAGACGCAGCCAAAAATAAAAGGGGGAATCAACGACGTCGTTGGAATCAAGACAATATTAATAGAAATTATCCCGAATCTTCAGGTGATGAGGGAATTAGTGATTGGGATGATGATGATGAAGCGGAATATGAAGGTGTAAAAAAATGGAAGGGAACAAGTGTAGGAAGTTCGATGCACGATAAAAAGAAAAATGCTTATAACAATAAGAATGATAGCTCAAAATCACGTGATCAAGACATTAACGAAATTAAACAACAATTGAAGGAATTAACTAATTTATTCACCGAATTTAAAAATGATAACAATCAAGTTAAACAAGAAATTAACAAGATCAAAGAAGGTCTTCAACAAAACAACAAGAAAAAAGTCACTTTTAACGTTAATAATAAAGCATCATTAATCAACAATAACAATAAAAGAACAAAGGCTGATAGTTCTTCAAGTGAAAATGAAGATAATGACGTAATTTTGGGATTAGAATCCAAGGTCGATAAACAAGATCAACTTTTAAACAAGATGTTCAGCATGATTAATAATATTAATGGCCAATTATGAGCGCCATGATACAATAACTTCTAATAATGGGGATATTAGAAGTTCATTCAACTTAAACCAAAATAATACTTATTAATGATAGTACAACCAAATAATATACCAATATTAAATAATAATTATAATTATCAATCAAATCCCCAAATTAAAAAAAATAATAATAATTATAGAAAAAAGAAAAAGAAAAAGAAAAAAACGTTAAATATAGACGCTTTGGCAACAAATTCAGATATACCAACGCATGATCTTAAAAAAGAACAAAAAATGATACCAAAAATAGCAACCTTAAATGTACAAAATTTAAGTGAAACAAAATTAAATATTTTAATTAATTACATGAAAAAAGAAAATATTAACATTATAGGTTTAACAGAAACCCATCGTATGGATAGAGAGATTAAATTTATGAATCTTGTTGGTCATGAATATACAATTATTAATTATAACATTGAAAACATTAAACAAAGTGCTGGGTTGACTTTATTAATTCACCGTAGATGGGAAAACATATATATAACATTGAAAAATACGGAGGACGTTTAATGGTTGTAGATTTTTCTTTTAAGAAAAATAAAAAATTAAGAATTATTCTAGTATATAACAAATCTGGTACGAGGAAAGTAGAAGAAAAAATAGAAACTAATGAACGAATTATTAAATTAATTAAAGAGGCAAAAACAAAAAAGATGGAAATTATTTGTCTGGGAGACTTTAATTTAGAATATAAAAAATATGACGAAAAAGTTAAAAATAATAAATATTGTTATAAAAGTTTAAAAATATTCGGAAAAATGGAAGAATTAAATATGTGGGACGTTCACAAAGAAGAGTATGACATGGAAAACAGAAAAATTATTAATACCTTTACTAATAAAACTACCGGGAAAGGCAGTAGAATAGATTATATTTGGGTAACCGAAAATATTTTTAACGAAATAATTATAGCAAAAATTAAAGATTTTAGTGATATTAAGACGGATCACAGAATGCTTTTAATAGGATTTACTGAAAATTTAATAACTCCTAAGATGCCGTTTAAGAAATCGATTAACAAGAGAATAATTTATGAATATAGTAATACAGAGGAAAAAGAAAAAGAATCTTTTGATAATGAACTAATCGACTGCGCTAGTTTTTGGGATAAAAATTGGTCGATTGAAGAAAAGTGGGAGTTTTACGAAAGAAGTATAAGAGAGGTAAAAGAAAAATATATCAAGAAAAATGAAATAACTATTAAAAATAATAATATAATTGATGAATACAAGCAACAGGATTTGTATAAAAAACTTAGATATATAATATTTTTAAGGAAAAAATTAAAAAAAAAGAGTGGTAGAACTTTATTACGGAAAAAATGGAGGCAATATCAATGGCATTTTAGAAAGCTATTAAAAAAATTAAACATAGAAGAAAATTATTACTTCAGCGAAAATATGTTTTTGAGGAAAATATTAATTTACAAATATATTAAAGAATTGAACGAGGTTTATGATATAATATTTTTGAAATTGTCTTATGAATCGGCTAAAGTTAAAGAGGAAAAAATTAAAGAGGCAGTCGAAAGACGCTGTGAAGATTTGCATAGTAATCAACGAAGAATGATCGATAGTGTGATGGAAAAAGAGATTAAAAAAATTGTTATTGATAGACTGTTAACAGAAGATAAAGATGGACAAGATATTCTTGTGACAGACGAAGCAGAGATAAATAAATTAACGATTGAGCATTTTAAGAATTTTGCTGGAATCCAGAATCATGATGTAGAATTACCAGATTTTTGGAAGAATGAATACGAGTCTAAATCTAATGTAGAAGAAAACATTTATCAGAACGTGCTTGACCCTATAAATGATGAGGAATGGGTAGAGTTAATTAAGGCTTTACCTTTACATAAAGCATCGGGGCCAACAACGATGACATATGAAGATATTAAATATGCTCCTAAAGAATTTAACGAACTTTTTAGAAATTTAATAGATGATGTTTTTAGAACACAAGAAATGCCTAATGATTGGAAAATTGCGAATATTTATCCTATACCCAAACCGAAACTGTGGGGGCATAGATTGGTTAATACTAGACCAATAACTCTTTTAGAAGTAACGAGAAAAACAATGATGAAAATCTTAACTAAAAGATTATCGAAAGTAATTAAAGAAAAAAGGGTTTTACAAGGATATCAATACGCAGGACTACCCTTGAACTCTACTTTTGAACCTTTAAGAATTATTAATGAGGTTATAAATCATGCAAACGAAAGAAATAAAGAATTATGGCTATTAGCTTTAGACATGTCAAAAGCTTACGATAGAATAAATATTAGCATGTTAGAAAAGGCGATGGAAAGAATCAAATTTCCAAAAAAGTTACAAAAAATATTAACCAGTTTATTTTTGGGAAGAAAAAATAGAGTTTTCACGCAAAGTGGCTTAACAGAATTATATGATATGCAGTGCGGTATCGATTAAGGAGAAATAATATCGCCTCTTTTATGGATAATATATTATGATCCTTTGTTGACTAAGATCAAGAATTCAGACTTGGGATATCAGATCGATGGAAAACAAATAATTAATCATTATGAAAATATAGAAAGACCTTTAGCTTTTAATTTTCCAGGTTTGTCTTATATGGATGATATGAATTTTATATCAGACTGTAAAGACAACTTGGAAAAAATTTTAGAAATAGCAGATTCATTTTATAGAATGAATGATATTAAAATTAACAAAGAAAAATCAGAGTTGCTCTTAAGGACAAAAGACAGGAAAATTGATCTTAATGAACAGAAAGAAATTAATATTAGGTTTGGAAATAGTAAAATTGATATAATTCCAGCAGAACGGAAGGGATCCATAAGAATTCTGGGTGTTTGGTTCAATGCGTTTAACCAGAAGAACCATGTTTTAGTTAAGATGAAAGAAGAAATTAAGAATTTTTATCAATCCTTACTTTTGAAGAAAAGGTTGACAGATAAACAAATGGTGTATATTTTCAATATGTTAATCGTTCCTAGAGTCAAATACTGTACACAGTTAATTGTTCTGACCGAAAAAGAATGTGATGAATTAATTGTTCCCTTTAGAAAAATGTTTAAAAATAAGTTAGGTTTGGCGATAACTGCACCTAATGCTATAGTGCATATGAAAGAGATTTATAACGTCAAAAGTTTTCATGATAATCAATTACAAGCAAAGATAACAAATTTTGTAATTCAAATCAATGATGAAAATGAGTTAGGCAAAATAATGGAAATTAGGCTTTTTAATTTGCAAGAAATGTTGATGCTAACAAAAAATCCTCTCAAAGAATTGTCATTTGATGATATTGTAAGGTTCAAAAAAATTTTTCCTACTTTGTTTAGAAATATATTTTTGTTAGAAAACATAAGTTTAGCAAAAAAACATAATTTCGATTTTAAAGTTGAAAGCGTTATAAATAATATGGAGGTTAAAGGTGGTAATTTAACCATAAAGGAAGTATTAAAAAAAGATACGTATTTTAACAATTTTAAATTGATTAAAAAATTAAATATCATATTTTTGGATCAAATTCTTACTTTGGATGGAAGGAGTATGTTAACGTTCAAAGAATTATTTTATAAGAAATATGTTAGAAAAAAGTTACGGTCGAGGAACTCAATTAAAAAGAATTGGGACCAATTAGAAAAAGAAATTATAGAAATGCCTAATATTAATAGAAAAATTAAAAAAAATATTTTTGATAAAATAACTGTCAATTACGTTACAAATTTAAAAGGAGAAGAAATTTTTCCAATTACAACTAACCCTTTATCAGATAAGTTTGTGGGGACTTTTGACAAGATAGAACAAAAGGTTTTATACGGAAAAGTTTTTAAACTAGATAAAGAAGAAGCGATTATTTTACATCATACTACAGTAAATGATCCGGAAGATTTTAATATAGTATTTAAAAAATGTGAAGGTTGTATATTAGACGATGATACGTTAACTAAAAACAGAATTAAAAATATATGTATATTTGGTGCGGTACCGGAAAAGGTATATTTTTTAGAAAATCAAAAAAGATCAATGAAAAGGGTCTTAACGAAAAATAAATCGGCTATAATTCCAGATATATCTCAACATCATTTTGACATTAAAATTAGATATGAAGAATTTTTTAGAAATAATCCTGATCGATATCTGGCAGATGATATTAGAACAGATGAAATGAGGGGATGTTCAATGAGCTCAGTCAAAAATATAATAGAAAAAATTATTTTAAAAGAAAAATTTAATAATAATCTTAGCGTGGAAAAATTAATGAATATTAATGATAAAATAATTAAGCAGGATAAAAAGAGAGTACACATTTATGTAGATGGTTCGGTAGTTAATAGTGGTAGCATAACAGAAGTTTGATTTCATTGGTTGATCTATAAGGATTCTGATTGGTAAATCAAATTTCATAAGAACAACTTCGTAACGCCAATCTTGGAGTTTCACAAAAAGCTTTAAAAGAAATGATCATCTCTTCATATTTCAACCTTGCTCACGTGAATATAAAAGGATTTTTTGTAAGAAAAAGACCCAAGTTTCATTAATATTTTGGTCTTTAAAAGGTATAAAACCAATATACTGACTTTGTGTAACATGTTCGTAATTCTAAAGTTCTTCCTAGTAAAACTTGGTGGAATAAAGAGATCATAGAGATCATAATGCATATAATGGTAGAGTAACAGCAGAAATATGTTCTAGTGAAATTTCGCGTCAAACGGATAGGTCTTTAATGTAGCTTAATATAACACATCATGATTTACTATATGTGCTATTCTATACGCTATATAAATAGTTCGTGTAACCAATGATTATTTAAGAAACTCTGTTATGCTAATAGTGGTACAGAAAATATAGCTGGGATTTCTGGTGTGTGCGTTTACGATGAAAATCATTTAATATTAGATGAAATATATGTTTCAGTTGAAAATTGGATAACGCCGGCGAAAACTGAAACTTTAGCTTTTTTGATAGCGCTAATAGTATGCCATCGTTGTGATAACGTAATAATTTATACAGATTGTGAAAGTGTATATAATAGATACAATATTTTATGTCAAACTAACGATTTTACAAATGCGAGGAAAATTTTTAAAGAACAATCGAATATCTACTTATGGGCGTTAATTAGAATAATAATTAAGGAAAATTTTTCGTTTTTTCCAACAATAATTAAGGTGAAAGCTCATGCGGATAACGTTTATCATAATGAGTTAGATAAAAGAATTAAAGAACGTTTTAATGATTTAAATAGTACTTATTTGATAAATTTGAAATATGAAGAACTTTCTCAGATTAAGTACTCAATTATGTGTAATAATGTTAATATCGAAACACAATTACGAAGATTCATTAGACACTATACCGAAACAATTAATCTAGAAAAGTTCATTTTTCTTAATAGGAACGTTAAATATGATAAATTAAGTATAGATTGGGCTGTTACGTTTGAATATTTGAAAGAAAAGGAAAAGGCTCTGACAACTTCTTTTTGGACTTCAAAGAAAAGGAGAAAAAAGATACAAAGGATAATAGAAGAAATTCCAACAATAGAACAATGTAAGAAATCAAATTTTGATATATACAAAAATTGGAAATGTGTACGTTGTGGAAGAAAAAGAGAGACATTCCACCATGTGTGGTTATGTAATTCGGAAAATAAAAAAATGAAAAAAATTATTAAAGATGCTTTTGATCTTATGGTTAATGAAATCAAAAGTATAGACAAATACACATTAGATGAAGGAAATTTCTATGATTATGTTTGGAATGAAACATTTTCAAAATTATTTTATAGTAAAACACAGTTTACCTTTATAGATATTATTAAAGGTATATTTCCTTTGGGGTTAACTGAATATTTAACATTAAAGGTTAAAATGAATCTAAAAGATCGAAATACAATTAGCGTCTTATTTTTAGATTTTATATACGATGAAACTAAATTGATTTGGTATGAACGTTGTAATCGACAAATTGAGAAAGAAAAGAAATTAAGAATAAATAGAAAAAGGAAGTTTATGAGGAATAAAAGTATTAATGGAAGATTAGAAGATAGAAGATTACCTATAAGAAACCCTAAAATTAAGGCTGAAGGGCTTCTGCGTGGTATATATTTTAATCAGAAAACGTTGGATTTTATAATACATGTGATCCTGATCATTAGTTACTGATTTATTTCTTTAATTTTCGCCCTTTGGGTGAGTTTTTATGTATATACATTATCAATCATCGGTCATGTCACAGGAACTGCCGATCATTAATATGAAATTGGTGTAACGTTAAATCACGTGAAATTCCGTTCTAATATAAAACTTTTTTTTCAAGTTAACGAACTTCACATTTTAATTACTTTTATTTACTAAAGGTTTAATCTACATATTCCAATAATTTTCTTTGCAAAAAAACATTTGTACAAAAATTTCCTATTTGAACAACCTTTTCTATTTTTTTGGACTTAACCCAGAGATGCAAGTTTATATGAAAACGTAACGAGATCTTAAATTACCAATTATAAGTAACTTTTTATGTACGATCAAAAAACATATCCGACAAAAGGTGGTTAGATTAATAAATTTTGCCGAAATTTTATAATTTATAGTTTTTTGCACCCAATTAATCAGTAATTAATATTGTTTAGATTATAATTTTAAAATTTTATTGTATTTATTTGTTCATTTTGTAAAATAACGTTAATTTAACAAAAAACTTACATTATTTATTATTGTTATTATTTATAATTTGAATTTTAGATTTACGGTATCTCCACGCTGCTTTAACTTTAGTTTTATTCCAATCACTTGAAAGTTTATCAAGAACCTCATTAATAGCTGAGTCTGGTAACTCATCTTCATAAACTAATAACGCCTCAAGTATTTTTTCTTCTTCCGGGGTTGTTTGTTTACGTTTTTTCTTTAGTAAACTGATTTGGTCATTAGGTAAGTGTGACAATTCTAAATTATCTGCATTACGAGATCCACCTGTTCGTGATGTACCTTGAGATAATTTAACTTTAGTCCGACGATTTTTCTTTTGCTGGATAAAATCTTTCAATCTAGTTCTAACAACTTCTATTGCTCTTCTACCATGTGTGTTTCTGCATTCTATTTCTAGAACTTCTTGTCGATAAACTGTTTTGATTCACGATAATCCTTTCTGATAGAATGAAATTAGACGTTCAACTCCTTGATGGTGCAGTTCAGTTGGTTGATATTCTTGAAATAGATCGTGAGACAAAGGATCTGACATCCCAAAAATATCTACTAGATCGCCTACAAGATCCCACAATGGTGCCATTCGTGATTTACTAGTTCGTTCAGCCGGTAATATTGATTTATTATCTAAATATTCATATATTAGCAAATCTATCCTGGCCCTTTCATCCTGAACTGCTTTTATTTGATCTTTAAGACATTTTTCATCAATTGTATTTCCGGTGACATTTTGTTTAACATATTTCACTCCAAACGTCTCTAACGCCTCATCAAAACCTAAACAGATATGGTTTTCTTCATGTTGTTCACGTGGAATTTTAAAAGAACCAACACAACGTAACTTTTCTTCTAATTGTGGAAAAGCAGCTAGTGTTGAAAGATAATGGGCAATTGCAGTTGTATAATTGGATTTAGCAGCACTAGCAAAAAGAGGCGCGGCTGCAGCTAAAGAATCTTTTTGAATACTGAAATTTCCTATACGCATTCCCATTTTATGAGCTTTCCAAATACCCGCCCATCTATAATAAAGGTACCAAACTTTAAGACAAATGTGAGTATCATTTTTACCATCTAAAATTTCAGAAAAATTTATTTTTTTTAAATTAATATAAATATTAATAGCGATTAATACAGCAACCCACAAGAGATCTAATACTCTAGCTGTTGAACGATAGTCCACAACAATTTCAAGTTTATCTAAAAATCGCACACCAAGACGTGAAGCTAAACTTAATAATCCATAACTTGAAAATAGAACTAAAAGTACTGAGCAAAAGTCCTTAGACGTGTGCCACTGACCTAGGTGAGGTCTTAATTTTGTCCATTTTTTTTTACATTTAATTAATCTACGATATATTGCTTCATCAGCAACAATATCAAGAAATTCATAATCTTTTAAATCAAATTCTTTTTTATACATCTCAGCGGCATTTAAAATCTCTTCATCTGAATTGGGGTTATTTCAGGGTTCAAGGATAAAGACATTAGGTGATGGTTCTAAACATCCATAATCTAATTTGGAAAGTAAAATATCTTTAACGCTTTTAGCATCAAAATCTTTTCTGTAAGATAATTCGCCATTGATATTTTTAAAATCTAATAATTCTTTGAATACTTCTTGAAAAGTCATTAATAATTGATCTATCCTAGAGTTCATACCAAATAACGGTGTATCTGCAGTTAATTCAACCATTTCTTCAGGTCCAGTCCTTATTATATCTATTGGTAGCTGTATTTGAAAGGCCATTCTTAATATTGCATGAGAACTTTCTAGAGTAACATCGTAAATATTTCCAAACTTAAAACTTTTTTCTTTGAAATCAATGTTATCGATGATTGCTAAATTCCAAATATTATTTTTTTTAATTAGGCGTTGTGTTGGATTAGCATTTTTCATTCGAACATTAGCAAGCTTTCTTTCATATCTATCTATGTGAGATGTTACATGACACATTGTTAATAGTTGGCAGAGTGAACTTAATAATCGTGGTCTACGAACCAAACTTGCTAAAACTCGAGGTAACCAAATTTTTAAAGAAGGAAAAGCAAATCCTATTAATATTGAGGTAATAAATGTCACTACTTTAGTTAATTTTTTGTGATTAACAGTTTGAAGAGGCTTGTTACGTTTTTTTTGCTGACGATTACTTATTTCTATTTTTTTTTCTTGCAACTTATAAATTATTCCCCAAAAAAATGTAGTTATAAAATTCGGAAATGCATTATAATATTCTTGGATAGTTTGTGGTGATTCTAAGGAAGATTTATTTGCAATAACATCTGATCGTGAATTCCACAATTTATTTCCAATTATACTTCCAAGTTCCTTAAAATTATCAATGTTTATTTTTGGGTTGTCATTTATTTTTTTAAAAAATTTAATAAAAAGCAATTTAATAAGAAATAAACTAGGTGGTTGAGTAATTTTACTTGTAGAAATAGGAATAGGATTATTAGTTTCTTTATTATAATATGAATGGGGCGCAAAAGGAATAAGAGTATTAACTAACGCTACCAATATTTGTTTTTTTAATTCTTCATCTTGAGTTCGTGAAATGTCAATCAACCAATTACCCAAAAATTCGAGCCCTTTACTAATATCTTCTAAATGTAATTGTTTATTGACACATGTACTTCCTTTTTTTCCTCTTCCTGGACGTTGATAAATATGACCCCCAAGTTTTTCGTAACATGAACAGCAAATAGATCTTGATCTTTTAATATTATCAAATGCTTGAACACATAAAGGATCACATTCTTTTAACGCTTCACAGCCATATTGTCCAATACATGATACTTGAATATTATGTTTATTTATATACCAAGAATGTTGAGCACATCCCATACCCCGTGAAAAAAAATTCACAAATTTATCACAAGACATACATCTACACCATTGTATTATTCCTGATTCAAAGTCTTTAAATTTTTTTTCTCGTGGTTTATGCAGGTATTTATTGTCAAATTGAAAATGTGAATCACAAACTCCCAATCTTGGTAAAATACCATTTACTTCTTTAACAGCGTCACGATCTATTTGCCATGTGCCAAAAAGGTTACGCAATTGCCTTATCTTTCCTTCATTTTGCCCACACCGTTGAAACTTACCATTAATAAAATCAATTACCACACACGCCGTCAAATCTTTTAACTCTAAATCTGCTATAATTTCGTGATATTCATTATTATTGTTACATGGAGACTGTTCGTTATTACACTCATTTTCACATTCAAGGTCTTCATTTATTTCATCTTCATAAATATCGGAGTCAGAACTACTAGTTACATCAATATTTTCAGATATTCTATGTAAAAATCTAATATTACATTCGTCAAAATCAGCAAAAGAACCAAAAAACTCACAGTCACTCCCTTCATTATCACTGCTTATGTCGTCCTCCAACTCTTCTGATTCCTCTGTAAAGTTTTCAAAAAGTGAGTTTAAAGAAAACCTATCATTGTGTTCTAACATTTGTAATTAAGTATTTTTTAAAAAACCGCAAAAATAGGGTAAAAGTAAAGCTGAGATGCAAGTTATAGACAGTTTTTTTTAACCATATGAAGACAAAAATATATTTTTTCCATCTCGAAGTTTCAAATATCTTAGTGTTACAAACTACGGTAATACAAGATTTTTTCATGTTTGCATATACATCAAAATTTGCATTTTTTCGTTCACTTAGAAGTTTTTTATAGTAAAAGTAGCTCAATAATCATCCAATTCTGACAAAAATTAATACATAATAGCTCCGACATGATACAAAACTACATGTAAAATTTCAGTACATATTATTATGTAAATTTTTTTTATTTTAGTAAAAAACGGTTTTTAAAAAAGTGATCAGCAATCATGTCGATCCTCTAATAGAAATCAGTTCCCTATGCCGATCCGTGACATGACCGATGATTGTTATGATAAATACCCAATTATTATATAAGTTTTATACATATCTACTAATAATAAAAACTCACACAATGGTGGGGGTATAAGGTCAAAACCTCTGAAATCTGTATCATACCCGGGGTACTGTAGCCCCCATTATACGGTATATGTTACTTACTTAGATACAGAGTAGAGTTATATTTGATGTCAAAAAAAAAACAGGAAGAAACTTTAAAACAAAAATTGAAAAATACCTTATATCTCTTTGAGAACATTTTTGACCTGAACAACGATTCATACGATAAAGCACGTTTTCTGTTAGATAGGTATAGAAAGGCAAGTATGATTCTAGTATGATGACTTCAGTGAGTTATTTAGTGGCGGTGATTGAGTTCTATAGAAATCACAAAACTAGTGTGTGTGGCACAGCAAACTGCGGTTTTAGCTATGCTCAAATCTACGGATAACCACCACTAAGCACTGGTACCACTGATGCGTCAATAACTACAGTTACTTTGATGTTAAGTCTGCGGACAACCCAGTGGAAAAGTAGAGAATTATGAAGGTATTGATTAGTCAAGATCGTTATTAATTAACCAAAATATTAATTTTTTTGAGGAAGAAAAACGGTAAACAAAACGGTTAATGGACCTTTGATTCAATTTTTGGGTAACAATATCTATGGTGGAAGCAACGGAACTTTAAACATTGAATCAAAAAAATCAAAAAAGAGAAAATCTACCAAAATTGATAAGCCAGATTCTATAGGAATCGATGTCAGACGCTACTGAAAATGTTGAAAATATGTGCAATATCATTGATAATGAACAAGTCGTAAGTCATATATTTTATTCTATTTTTTTGCGTTTTTTTTTTGTATTGTGCTGTGTAATTAATTTGCCTTCTTTGCCTTTTTGTTGAATGCACTGATAGAAAGAACATAATCTTGAGAAAAGCTGGGAATTTGAACAATCAATTTCTGATTGGCTTAAACGAATTCATCAACATCGCGAAGATCTCACCATCACAACTGACACAACTGACTTCAAATCACTGTCTCAAGTAGCAGAAACGCAAAATATATGATTATGAAATCTTTCTATTATTGGGCTGTTTGGTGGCGTATCATTGATACATGTGATCTGAAATTAACTGAAATTATTACAGAATGAAAGTTTTAAACCTAAGTGAGAGTTTACTTTCCAACCTTCTATCGGACTGGGAAGTATTAGAGCCACCAGTTGAAGATGCTTGCACTCAATTGCAATGGTGGGTAATTATGTTACTCAACCTGATTGTCTTCCAGTTGGATAAGAAAGAAATGAAGAAGGTAGTCAAAACTGTAATACATCATAGTGTTTGTGGTGCTATAAATACTTCAAAGATGAAAACCCTTTCCTTGACTTTCCACCTACTGAAATCATAACTGCCGATAATGTTGTTCAATATGGAAATTATAAATACCCAGATGTCTATTACATTATTGAACTTCTTCGTTATACGTAAATATGAGAATTGTTACATGTAACTAGTATTTTGAAATAACTTTATACATGAAAATAAATAAATTTTGGTTATTATAATGTCAATAAGAAAGTTATGTAAACTAGGTACAATATGATCGATAATAAAATATCGCAATGGAAAATTCAGAACGGGGATATTAATGTAATTTTCAAGTCCCACGTTTTCTTGTACTCCTTTTTTTTCTCCTTTTTTTTGTTAATTTTTTTTTCTCATGCGCTCTTTTCTCAAGTAGAACAACCTCTTTATCATTTTTATTTTTTATATAGTTTCTCTTAACGTTTGTAATTAATATATATGTTTTTATATTAAAATCAAAGTATTTTATTCATTATTTTTAAAAATTTTTAGAAAGTTACGCAAATAATCATTATGGAAGAGCTAGTTAATTATGCATTCTTCTCGTTACTATCTGTATTTATTATATTATGTACTGTAGCATGTTTTTATCATGTATCTTTATTTTGTTAATAATTTGTTAAAATATCATTGATTTGTCTATAGCGTTGCATTTATTTTTGTTAAAAATTCATTTCTGTTATTTTTTTTTTAAATAATGATATGTTTTTATCATCTTTATTTTTAAATATTATTGTAGAATATTAATTTGTTAAATTTTTATTAATTATCTGTTGTAAAACTTTAATTATTAAATTTTAAATTTTTAATTGTTAAATTTATCGTGAAGCTTTAATTTGTTAGATGATATTGAATTATTATTAAAAAATGATATTAATAAAAAAATTCATTTATAGATCATTTCTTGGGATACTTTACGTCTTTACCCGAATTTCTAAAACAAATACTTCCTCAAAATTATACGTATTTAATAAAAACATTTAATGACGGAATTACCATCATTTCGAACTGTTGAAGATTTTGAAATTTCACAATTTGAATTAGATGCATTCACGGACGTTAGTGACAAAGAGAAGGCAACTTGCAGAAACTATAAAATTTTTTCCGATATCAATATGATATTGGTAAGGTATCGATAAAACACTAATATTCATTAAAAATAACAATTAAAAACAAATAATCCACCAAATAAATAATCTTTCTGGTAAATAAAATTGATAGTAAAATCAGAAGTATACAGTATTTTAATGGTGCACTGTCGTCGGTCTGGATGTGTGTCTCGCTACCGCTCCACCCACCTCAGACTCACGTCCTCGCAGTACCTATATCTCGCTATCGCTCCACCTATATCGCCCCTACGGGGATCAGGAATCCCCATATATCCGCCACAATCTGGGACAACATATGGAACAAATATATATACCAAATAACTAGAAAACAATAGAAAAGGAAGGAATAACGGATATAATAAGAGGGTTGTCCCAGATGTGGCAGATGTGGCAGATGTTTCAGAAAAAATATGAGAGGACATCCCCCCAGAAAAAGTTTTATTTTTACCCCCCCA